ATCTGTTAGAATGTGAAGAGTGACGGCAGCAAAGAGTCTTCTTCCGCTGATGGCACGATGATATCATGTAGACAGGATGAGTAACACCACAGGATTAGTAACACCACACATCTGATACTCGATAGATGTCTTGTAATGCACTGATGAGGAACCTGCGACCCAAGTTTTTCATCTCCGACCTTGTCAGGTATTGAACATTCAATAAATAAAGAACACAGAATTATTCAATATAAAACACAGAATTTGTGTGATTATACTAAATGACTTACAAATAAACACCACTGCATATTTACAACTGTTACACATGCTGATGTAACGCAAATGTTTCCAACTTGGGATCAATAAAGTATATCTTATCTTAAGATGATCGATGGCTACTGCCATATTTTAAAAATGTGCCTCTGAACCTTGACAAGTGCATGTTTCAGGCTTATCAATGAACAACAGGAGGGGTCACAGACATAAGACCAGCTGTTAAATAAAGCTCTTCTGACCTTAGCTGGCATGTGGGTATATATATTAATGCTGCCCATTATGGACACAAGCAATTTTCACTCATTTATCAATTATATGTTTTAAATTTCAGTGTTTCCTATCCCCTAAACCTCCATGAATGTACACAGTTTAATACTAGCAACATCGATTGAATACATTAATGTAGCCTTTGTTTCTGCTCAAAGAGATGTCGACCAGCTGGGGCAACAAGACAATCTGCGAAATCGAGTGTGACTATTAAAAAATAAATAATTATTATATTAATATTAACAATAACAACCGACCGTCGGGGTAGCATTTGCTTGGCATTTCCGGGTATTTATCCACTGATTGGGCCATGTTAACAATACCGTGTAACTGTCACGTTTGAAGGGACGAAATTGTGACACCTTCACGTCTCCCAGCATGGTCGTCATGTTCACGTCTTGCCGTGATACCGGGTTGAAAATGAAGCACTGCACCCACAACTACAGAAACACTTACCAACAGCAAAGTTCTCCACCAAATGGCACACCCTTTATTTATAGTACAAGACACTTTGTCCAGCCAACTACACACCATAGTGCTTTATCTAAAGCGCACTCCTCTGTTATGGCGTTCTGTATTTAGAGAATTCTGCATATAAAGATTGTTCAAGTCTACACAAATATGTGCAGAAACACAAGTATACTGTTGTTATGCTTTGTGTTCTCCAAAAGAGAAAAGGTGCTACATTCATGCACAACACACAGATGTGTCCACCAAAATGACGCCTCTGTCTTCTTACCCATACTCCTCTCTGTTTTTCACTTTCAATAAGCATGAACAATTTGTATTGATCACATTTAGGCAAGGCAAGTTTATTTATATAGCACTTTTCAACACAAGGCAATTCAAAGTGCTTTACAAAAAATGAAAGACATTAAGAAAATGGCATTTAAAATCAGTCATTAAAAAGAAAAGCTAATAAAATAAACATTAAAAGAAAAAAATACATGGATAAAAGTTAAAGTGCAGTTTAAGATATGAATAGTTCAATTAAAAGCAGCGACAAAAAGAAAAGTCTTCTTGCTGGATTTGAAAGTAGTCAGAGTTGCAGCGGACCTGCAGGTTTCTGGGAGTTTGTTCCAGATATTTGGAGCATAATAACTGAACGCTGCTTCTCCATGTTTAGTTCTGACTCTGGGGACAGAAAGCTGACCAGTCCCTGAAGACCTGAGAGATCTGGATGGTTCATCATTTAGCAGGAGGTCAGAAATGTATTTTGGGCCTAAACCATTCAGTGCTTTATAAACCAGCAGCAGTATTTAGAAATCTATTCTTTGACACACAGAAAGCCAGTGTAAAGACTTCAGAACTGGAGTGATGTGATCCACTTTCTTAGTGTTAGTGAGGACTCGAGCAGCGGCGTTCTGAATCAGCTGCAGCTTCCTAATAGATGTTTTAGTGAGACCTGTGAAGACACCATTGCAGTAGTCGAGTCTACTGAAGATAAAAGCATGGACAAGCTTTTCCAAATCCTGCTGTGACATTAGTCTTTTAATCCTAGATATATTCTTTAGGTGATAGTAGGCTGATTTAGTAACTGTTTTAATGTGACTGTTGAAACTCAGGTCAGAGTCCATGACTACACCTAGAGTTCTGGCTCTATCTGTTGTTTTGAACATTGCAGACTGAAGCTCAGCGCTAACTTTTATACGTTCTGACTTGGCTCCAAAAACCATTACCTCAGTTTTATCTTTGTTTAATTGGAGAAAGTTCTGACACATCCAGTCATTGATTTGTTCAATGCACTTACTCAGTGTTTGAATTGGAGCATAGTCTCCTGGTGAAATTGCTACGTACATTTGTGTGTCATCTGCATAGCTATGGTAACTTATTTTGTTGTTTTTCATTATCTGAGCCAGTGGTAGCATGTAGATGTTAAAGAGAAGAGGCCCCAGGATGGAGCCTTGAGGAACCCCACATGTCATATTTGTCAACTCAGATGTGTATTTACCTATAGAAACAAAGTTGTTTCTGTCCTTTAAGTAGGATTCAAACCAATTTAGAACTGTTTCCGAAAGTCCCACCCAGTTTTCCAGTCGGTCTAGTAATATGCTGTGGTCAACAGTGTCAAACGCAGCACTGAGATCTAATAATACTAACACTGAAGTTCTGCCACTGTCTGTGTTTAAGTGGATGTCATTAAAGACCTTTACAAGAGCAGTCTCAGTGCTGTGGTTTGGACGAAAGCCTGACTGGAACACATCCAAACAGTTATTTAAATGCAAGAAATTACTCAACTGTTGAAAAACAACTTTTTCAATTATTTTACCTAGAAATGGGAGGTTTGATATGGGCCTGTAATTGTTCATTACTGAAGCATCTAGATTATTCTTTTTTAAGAGCGGTTTAATGACTGCAGTTTTCAGGGCCTGTGGAAAAATACCTGAGTGAAGAGACTTGTTTACTATATGAAGTAGATCTGAGGCCATGCAACGAAAAACATCTTTGAAAAATCCTGTTGGAATAGTATCAAGGCAGCAGGAGGAGGATTTCAGAAGTTGAATAATGTCCTCTAGGTTTTTATCATTAATCTGATGGAATTGTGTCATGGTGTTTGAATTGATATTAGGTGGACACAGAGACAACACATTTGCTGTTCCTGATGCAGAGGCACTGACTGCTTGTCTGATTTTCTGAATTTTGTCAGTGAAAAAGGCAAAATCATTGCACGCCCTGGTGGATAGAAATTCAGAGGCTACTGACACTGGGGGGTTAGTTAGTCTGTCGACGGTCACAAACAAGGCACGTGCGTTGTTTTTGTTTTTGGCAATGATGTCAGAGAAGAAAGACTGTCGGGCAAATTTCAATTCCAAATTATAAAGGCCAAGTCTCTCTTTATAGATTTCAAAGTGAACCTGGAGATTTGTTTTTCGCCACCTAGGTTCAGCTTGTCAACACTCTCTTTTTTCTGTTCTCACGGTCATGGCCTTTCTCCATGGAGATATTTTCTTCCCAGTCAATTCCTTTACCTTAGTTGGAGCAATGGCATATATAACATTTTTAATTTTTGAATTAAAATGATCTACTAGCTCATTTACTGAGATGTTAGCAGGGGCAAGTGTGGAAGAAAAATTCGGAGTAAACACCTCTTTTTGAACATTTTTGTGAACAGAAATAGAGCTCTCAAAGAAAACACAGGAATGGTCAGAGAGTGCAACATCAGTCACCACAACCTTAGAGATATTCAGACCCTTTGAGATAATTAAGTCCAGAGTGTGCCCCTTATTGTGCGTGGGCTCCGTCACATGCTGAGTCAGTCCATAGTTATCAAGAACACAAAACAGTTCTTTAGCCCCTCTGTCCTGGGGGTTGTCAACATGGATGTTAAAATCACCAACAATGACTAGACGGTCAAAGTCAATACACACTATAGACAGCAGTTCAGTAAAGTCATCAAAATAGCTTGCACAGTATTTGGGTGGTCTATAGATATTTAGGAACAGAGCTCGAGAGGAGCATTTCAGCTGAAGGGCCACATATTCAAAAGAATCAAAGTTTCCATACGATGTCTTCCTGCTTTGAAGGGAATCATTGAACAGAATAGCAACTCCACCTCCTTTCTTATGCGTTCTTTCCTGACTCATAAAACTAAAGTTGGGAGGGGTTGATTCGATAAGAACAGCTGCACTGTTATCTTGTTCAATCCAAGTTTCTGTTAAAAACATAAAATCGAGATTGTGCTCAGTGATAAAATCATTGATTAAAAATGTTTTTCCTGCCAAAGACCTGACATTTTATAAAGCTAGTTTAAGTTTGTTAAACACACTATCAGTCATGTTTTTTGCAACAAGCTGTGGCTGACATGGAATCACTGCTAAATTAGATACACTCACACAAACGTTTGAGCGCTTCCTGTTTCTAAGATGATTCACCGCTCTTAATATATTACCTATCAACACAGATATCGGCAAAGCTATAGGCAGGCAGGGCCCCGGCATGTCCTGGAAAGAGTTGAGAGTGCCATACGCCCTTGAGCATGGACCCAGCACATATCAGTTTGCAGCGTTTTGTACACACACATCCTTATCAGGCTTCGGAGACTGCAGATGCTTTCTTGAAGGGAGATAGTTGACGTAGGCACGGTGATGAAGACGGGGGAGATGGTGCTTATTTTATTTAAAAATAAACTGCAACTACTGAGCACATATTGTTTATCCTTTATTTTATTTTTTAACAATATGATTTGTTGATTACAGCGTACTCTAACTTATTCTGTATATCTCATGTGTGTACCATAGAAACTCTGGAGGTAAGTATATTGTTGATGTTTATATGCATATAGTTATCTCTTTTTTATAATAGTTTCAGCTTCAGTGCAATGCCTTGTTTATTACTTGTTTCTACAACTAAATATATAAGTACATCTAATCTCATCTAAATAAACCTTCAATATTAAAGAGCAGAAAGAATGACATTTAAAAAGGCTAGTGTAGATTAAGACGGGTATAAAAAGCAAGAACACGAGTTACAATTCAGTGTTCGATATGAAAAAGTATTTTATTTCTGCTTCCACCCTGATTCAACGGAGGTGAAAGGACTTCAATTTGCATTTAACAGAACACCAACAATGAAACACATGAGCCCGAACTACAGTTCCAAAAAGCAGGAATAATCCTAACATTCCATCTGAACTCTGAACTCTAAATGAGCTGATTGTAATCTGCTGCAAAACACAAACAATATGCAGGAATGCGAGTCTGTTTCAAAGGCCTTTTTCTTTTAGTTTGGTTTGATGATATAAACAGAATCAAACTGGAAACATCGTACACATTCTCTATATCAATAAGTCATTGGTTCTTCTTTTAGACCAGAACAGACTGATAACTCAACAGGAACTATCAACAACATCCCAATGGAAGTTTAAAGTCACAACATTTCATTAAACAAACAGATTATTAGAGAAACTACTCTGCAGATTAATCAGTCAGTGGTTATAGTACACATCAGAAAAGTAGTATGACAAAAACATGAAACATATTCAAAACTTCTGTTGATAAAGATGGAGTTTAGATGAAGTCATGTTTGAACATTGTCAAACAGAGTTTATACAGACAGACAGATTTTTCTCATGTGAATTGTCGAAGGACTAATTAATTGTCCTCTTTTTTTATTGCAGATTTTACTTGGAAAATGTCAGGTTCAGAAGAGCCTCCAGGGTTGTCCTCAGTCTCTGGTTGTAAATGTCTCTCTGGATCTGAGTTCCTGGCTGGTTCTGGTCCTCCACAGTCCTCTCCATCAGCTTCTGTTTCCATGTGTTCAGCTGAGCTGCTGGCTGGAGGCTCTGCCTCTCTGTTCTCCTCAGTTTGAGTTTGATGAAGCTGTGAGGACTGACGACCAACACACTTATGGCTTTTGACCTGATGACTCTGTGTGAATCTTTTGTCACAAACACTGCAGCTGAATGGTTTCTCTCCTGTGTGGTTTCTCATGTGTGTCTTTAAATCTCCACTCTGTGTAAAAGATTTCTCACAGACTGAGCATCTGAATGGTTTATTTCCTGTGTGGAATCTCATGTGTCTCTTTAAATCTCCACTCTGTGCAAAAGATTTCTTACAGACTGAACAGCCAAATGGTTTCTCTCCGGTATGAATTATGATATGTCTATTCAGACTTGACTTGCGGCCAAATCCTTTCGCACACTGAGAGCATCTAAAGTGTTTCTTTCCAGTCCTACGTCTTGAATCACTGAAAGGGTCTTGTTTATTTCTCTGAGAGTTTGAACCTGGTTCTCTGGTCTCCTTCCAATCTCCACTGTCTTCAGTGTCAGGTTCAGAAGAGTCTCCAGGGTTGTCCTCAGTCTCTGGTTGTAAATGTCTCTCTGGATCTGAGTTCCTGGCTGGTTCTGGTCCTCCACAGTCCTCTCCATCCAGCTTCTGTTTCCAGGTGTTCAGTTTGTCTTTGATGAAGCTGAGAGGACTGAGGTTTCTCTTCATCATCTTCACTCTTCACAGGGACAGGAGTGAATGTGGACTTGGTGATATCAGCCTCCTCCAGCCCTTGAAGCTGCTCTCCCTCCTGACTGCTCCAGAGTTCCTCCTGTTCCTCTTTAATGTGTGGGGGGGGGCTCTGGGTCCTCCTGGTCCAGACTGGAGCTCCACTCCTGCTGCTCAGGGGGAACCTCTTCTTCAACCACCACCAGCTGCTGGACGTCTGCAGGAAACAGGAAACAGATATTCAGAGAAACTGTAGAGTATTAGAATTTAAAATCTAACCACCATTAACACTTCATTAACTTTGAAGCCCTTATCCATTAATTATTTAAATGCTTTTCAAGATGCCCTGGAGAGTTTCAGGACAACAGGTGAGTTAGTACTGTTGCTGATCTAAAACGTAGTTTCACTGCCGCTTAGCAAGGCGTCGGCTGTTCACGTAGTGTGAGGCCTTACCCCTAGATTCCACCGGGTCCGTCTGTGTCGTGTTACGGCTGTGTTGTGTTACGGCTGCGCCGCGGCGTCCGCAAGAATCGCGGCCACTCTAGTCAATGGTTGCTATTCCACCAGACGCGCCGGGTTACGGCTCAGAAGCGTCTCGGTGCTGGGCTCCGCTCAAAATAGGATTGGAGTCTATTTTTCGACGCGAAGCGTTGCAGAGGCGCCGGGCAGGAAGTGGACCGGTCAGAGCATCCGGCCCATCCCTCAAATAAACTAATTTTGCAGACCCTATCCCTCCGTAGTCTTTCAAGTAGGAGGAGGAATGCCAGCGTTCTCCTCCGGTTTACAGGCACTGTGTAAATTGTATATATATATATATATATATATATATATATAGAATAATTATGATGATGAATGCATTTTTGAATACATCTTTGATTCATGTCGTTTATAACAGGGATATTACAATTATTATTAACTTTGTCTGTACAAATAGTTGAATTTAGTCTACCTACATTGTAAATGTATTATCTCTTCGATTTACACACGGCATCTATTGCACGTCTGTCCGTCCTGGGAGAGGGATCCCTCCTCTGTTGCTCTCCCTGAGGTTTCTCCCATGTTCCCTTTAAACTGTGGGTTTTCTCCGGAAGTTTTTCCTTGTACGATGTGAGGGTCTAAGGACAGAGGGTGTCGTTTTTTTCTCATACTGATATTCTGAACAATCTATTGCTAGTGCTATTGTATTAGCTGTAAAGTGTCTCTACTGTAGGCTATTTTTATTATACAGTGGGGCAAAAAAGTATTTAGTCAGCCACCAATTGTGCAAGTTCTCCCACTTAAAAAGATGAGGCCTGTAATTTTCATCCATGTACACTTCAACTCTGAGAGACAGAATGAGGGGAAAGAATCCAGGAAATCGCATTGTAGGATTTTTAATGAATGAATTGGTAAATTCCAAGGTAAAATAAGTATTTGGTCACCTACAAACAAACAAGATTTCTGGCTCTCACAGACCTGTAACTTCTTCTTTAAGAGCCTCCTCTGTCCTCCACTCGTTAACTGTATTAATGGCACCTGTTTGAACTTGTTATCAGTATAAAAGACACCTGTCCACAACCTCAAACAGTCACACTCCAAACTCCACTATAGCCAAGACCAAAGAGCTGTCAAAGGACACCAGAAACACAATTGTAGACCTGCACCAGGCTGGGAAGACTGAATCTGCAATAGGTAAGCAGCTTGGTGTGAAGAAATCAACTGTGGGAGCAATTATTAGAAAATGGAAGACATACAAGACTGATAACACACTGATAATCTCCCTCGATCTGGGGCTCCACGCAAGATCTCACCCCGTGGGGTCAAAATGATCACAAGAACGGTGAGCAAAAATCCCAGAACCACACGGGGGGACCGAGTCAATGACCTGCAGAGAGCTGGGACCAAAGTAACAAAGGCTACCATCAGTAACACACTACGCCGCCAGGGACTCAAATCCTGCAGTGCCAGACGTGTCCCCCTGCTTAAGCCAGTACATGTCCAGGCCCGTCTGAAGTTTGCTAGAGAGCATTTAGATGATCCAGAAGAGGATTGGGAGAATGTCATATGGTCAGATGAAACCAAAATAGAACTTTTTGGTAAAAACTCAACTAGACGTGTTTGGAGGAGAAAGAATCCTGAGTTGCATCCAAAGAACACCTACTGTGAAACATGGGGGTGGAAACATCAAGCTTTGGGGCTGTGTTTCTGCAAAGGGACCAGGACGACTGATCCGTGTAAAGGAAAGAACGAATGGGGCCATGTATCGTGAGATGTTGAGTGACAACCTCCTTCCATCAGCAAGGGCTTGAAGATGAAACGTGGCTGGGTCTTTCAGCCGTGACAATGATCCCAAACACACCGCCCGGGCAACAAAGGAGTGGCTTCGTAAGAAGCATTTCAAGGTCCTGGAGTGGCCTAGCCAGTCTCCAGATCTCAACCCCATAGAAAATCTTTGGAGGGAGTTGAAAGTCCGTGTTGCCCAGTGACAGCCCCAAAACATCACTGCTCTAGAGGAGATCTGCATGGAGGAATGGGCCAACATACCAGCAACAGTGTGTGAACACCTTGTGAAGACTTACAGAAAACATTTGACCTCTGTCATTGCCAATGAGAAAAATAAAGAGCTTTTTGAACAGTAGTACTGAAAATTATTTGAGAGAAACCATACGAGTGAACGCTGGCACGACTGGCTGCCGCTGCTCTCTGGAACTACGGAGTATTACTCCAATTATCTAGTTTCTTTGTCACTATTTTTTCTGTTTTCTCAGCAATTAGAACAGCAGCCTACCCTCCCGACAATATCAGTGACTTGATCCCTTGTTTTAACTTGCAATCGTGTGTGTTTTGGACCACCGATTTACCGGCTTCCTACCTGGCTAGCTCCCCTGCCTCGCCTAGCCGCCGCTGCTATCATACCGGGACCTGTATCTGGTAGCTTCACCATCCAGGTAACGATGTGGATCAACAGGCTGCTGGTATGGAGTATCCTCGCATGGATTATATCCTTCATAGTCCATCCAGTAACACCGATACTTCAATACTCAGCTGTCAAACTTTTCCAACTGCGATTCCACCTGTCAGAGCCCCCACCGACATTGCTTCACCTGGACATCCCTCATCATGCTCGTCGAAAATACATCCACCGCGGATCCCGTCGGAGCTTCAACTTCGATGACACAAAACCAATTCCATCCTTCTGTTCCTCAAATCCTCGTCCCGCAAGAAGATCCACCGGACGGTCTATTGACCACAGCTCGCTAGCAAACCTGGCCAGGTGTGCTAGTGCTGGCGTCAAACCTGACAGAAATGATCTCGCCATCGGGCTATTCAACATCCGCTCGCTCAACAACAAGGGACTTCTACTTCATGATCTACTGGAAGATCGTAAGTTTGATTTGATATGTCTGACTGAGACGTGGCAACAGCCCAATGACTTTACGCAGCTTAATCAAACTATCCCACCTGGATTTGTTTACACCAGCAAATCCCGTCCCTCTGGCAGGGGCGGTGGTCTCGCGATACTTTACAACGAGAAGTGGAAAGTATCTGCACTGACAGTTCCTGTGAATACTTCCTTTGAGTCCATTGCTCTGCAAATCAATGGGCCAATTCCAACAATTCTTGCCACTGTCTATCGTCCACCCAAGGCCAATAATGACTTTTTAAATGAAGTCTCTGCTTTTTTTACTTCCCTATCTTCTCTCTCCCCTAATATAATAGTGCTAGGTGATTTTAATATTCACATGGACAATGTCAACAATAGTCTCACAAAGGACTTTACATCATGCCTGGACAGTTTTGGACTACAGCAATATATTGACTTTCCCACACACTCCAAAGGTCATATACTTGATCTGATCTGCTGCTCTGGTGTAACTCCTCTGAACTGCTCTGCATTCGATTTGCCCATTTCTGACCACAAGTTTGTAACCTTCAATGTCAAGTTAAAATTACCCAAAGCAAATATGTCACGTTCCATCTCATTCTGCAACATTAAGAATATTAACACGTCTGCTTTTTCTAATGGAATTAACAACCTCCCCTGCAAAGACTGCCTATCAACCACCGATGAGCTGGTCTCCCATTACAATGATGGACTCCAGAACCTTTTAAACATACATGCACCTCTGAAAACCCGGTCTGTCTCTTTCACCCGCTCTGCCCCCTGGTATACACCTGAGTTACGCCAGCTCAAAGCTAAAGGTCGTCGTCTTGAACGCCTGTACACCAAAACTGGCCTTGTAGTGCACAAGGACATGTACAACAGCCACATACTCGCCTATAAGGATGCTCTTTCCTCTGCTAAAACAGCATACTATGCCAATTAGGTTAGGTGAAGGAAACACCAGAACTCTGTTCTCTACAGTCAACAGCATTCTACAGCCACCGGCCTCTCTTGCACCCCACCTGTACTCAACCTCTCAATGTAACACCTTCATGACCTTTTTCAATGCCAAAATCAAAAATATTCACCAGCAACTGACCTCCTCCAGCTATACATCACTTCACTCAACTCCGTATGCTCCCTTCTCCTCCCCACTATCCAGCTTCGAACTTCCCACTATCGCTGAAATATCAAATCTCATTCGGAAATCAAAATCATCCACCTGCCAGCTTGACCCCCTTCCTACCCACCTAGTTAAAGCATGTCTACCTTCTCTCTCCGCTTTAATTACCGAGATAATTCACTCCTCCCTTACCTCTGGTCTCGTCCCCTCATCCCTCAAAACAGGTGCAATAACCCCTATTCTCAAGAAACCTGGTGCGGACCCCAACAACTTGAATAATTTCCGCCCAATCTCTAATTTACCATTTGTCTCCAAGATACTCGAAAAAACAGTTGCAGCCCAAGTCCACACTCATCTGAACAACAATAATCTTTTTGAAGAATTTCAGTCTGGCTTCCGCTCCTCACACAGTACAGAGACGGCCATGGTTAAAATCACAAACGATCTCCTAGTAGCAGCTGACTCTGGGTTCTTATCGATACTCATCCTCCTTGACCTGACTGCAGCCTTTGACACCATCTCACACCAAATCCTCCTTGACAGATTATCTTCCATTGGTATCACTGGCACATCCCACACCTGGTTTAGATCTTTCCTCTCCGGCCGTACTCACTTTGTCCAACTCAAACACTTCAAATCACAGTCCCATCCAGTCTTCACTGGTGTTCCTCAGGGTTCTGTCTTGGGCCCCCTCCTATTTATCATCTACCTCCTACCTCTCGGCCATATC